AACCACTTTGCTGCAGTACAAAGCAATCACTGTGCAGTGGCAGATTTATGCCACAGGGGAGAGTCCTCTGCACAGCACATCCCTGCCACACTGGGCACACAGGGATTCTGTCCCTGAGCTGGTGTTCCAACTCATCACTTGAATCCAATTGCATTTTTAATTAATGTTTAGCAGTCACGGGCTCACAAGCTGTGTTGTTGTCTTTCTCAAAGAGAAAACATAAAAGGTCTGAGAGCCTTTCTTCACCTATGAACTTATCAAAGCCACTCAGGACCAGGCATTTGTTTCTCTTCATTTTTTTCATCATGCTGCTGTAGGTCTGACCTCTGACATGTGGTTACAACTCGTATTATTTGAAGAGGCTTAGCAATGAATGAGAATTGTAATGAAGAGATTCTCCTCAAAATCAGGTTTTCCCCCTTTAATTTCCAGAATAAAACAGGATTTAATTTTCAAACTTCCCAATGAGAGGGTTATGGAGAACACATGAATGGCATCAACCAAGAGGCTCTGCTGCATCTCTGTGCCTTGTCATTGCCACTGGAAAACCCCAATGGCCACAACAGATGGCCCCAAAAGGGGGGAAAGGAACCCAAAACATCCTTCAGAGCACAAGGTGGCAGCTGACAACTGCAGAGACAAGTGGTGCAAAGTCAAACTGCTCTGCAAACCTCCTGCTGCTTTCACAATAAAACACAACATGTGCATCAAAACTCCACGTGGTACACGTGCATGGACACCTCCCTGCCTCAGAGCCGCTCCAAGGGGGGACATTCAGAACAGCCTGTTGCCATCTACCCTGAAAGGGCACCGTCCAGCAGAGCTGGGCATGTGCTTTGGCTTCTCAGCACCTGCCCCAGCTCTGAGGGGCTTTGGGAACGGCTCCACCAGGGGCTACACACCCAAAAGAACAATGGATGTCTGCTTTGGCATGGCTGGACGGCTCGGACAGGGCCAGCCTCACGGCCAGAGCAGGTTGTTCTGCTTGCACTGGTCCCGTGGGGATCAGAAAATGACGGTGCCTCGGAACCGCTGCAGAGCCTGGATGGCTCTTTGCTCGCAGCCCACGTCACTCTGACACACAGAACCCGGAAGGAATCAGTCAGAGGGTTTGGGAAAGGTTTGTGCAA